TTTTCTTCCATTGTTATTTTATTCAGAAAACACAAACAATACATATACTCTGTTTATGAGAATTCCTGAATTTTCAATAGGTACACAAAAATTCTCTACTAAAAGTTCAGATTTATCAAACCACCTCTACAGTTTTTCATTTTCCTGAAAGGATTTTATTAAAAACTATAAAAGTGTATAAATGTAATGTACGCAAATATTTGTAGGGTGGTTCCTAATAGGGGTGTTTTCGAATTTTTATGCTCCCAGCGACTCAAACGTTTCAAATAAACTGAGAAGTTAGCGGATTAAGAATAATCAAACCTATTTGAATGATTAGATACAGATTTTGTTAACGGTTTAAACAAATTGGTTAAATAAACGATCCCTTGTTTTTAATTTGGAACATTTAATCCCGAGGCGGGTCATCGTGTTACACGAAACGACCATAAGGCAGTAAAATAATGTCATAATATCCCGGAGAACAAATTACGACGCATCTTAGGGGACATAATAACATTCGCTTGTAATATAACGTCAGTTGTAAAAAGTGCAGCAGAGTCGTGTAGATGTAGAAAACAGGTCGGGGATAATATTTACGACTCCTTATAAAAAGAAGCACGCCAACCCTTACCATCCGGGCTTTATGGCACATTCTTTATCTCGTTTCGTCTAGTGCTCGTAATGATAAGGTCTCTCTGCTACATAAGTTTTCCTGGACACGACACGGCGCGGTCGCCTTACTACACTTCCTAACGGCAGTGCTCGACAGGTCGTGCCGAATTAACTTTGCAACAAGATTAAACCCCATGCGCAACCGAAGAAACAAAGAACTATACACTGATTCGAACGTGATACACTATTTTGCCCTAATGGTCACGGGCATTTTTCAATTGGGATCAGTTTTCTGCACTACCTAAATTAAGTCAATCAATACAACAACAACAACCGTAAATATGTCTATTACTACACGATCAGTTGTAACCAGAATGTGAGTAGTCATCTGTATTATGTACCATTAGCAATAAAAATTGTTGAATTACACCTTATAGAACTTCGAACTTTTAGTAAATAAGCAATGATCGACTTGACTGTGAACTCCAGTATGAAATTTTGGTATGTTGGCAGTTCGTTAATGCTGAAGAAAAAAAAAATTTGGGTGTAATGCTGGTTGGCGGGCAGTCCCTCCGAGCTACGCCGGAAGGTCCTTTTCAACCTGCTTTCAGGAATCGTGGGAATGGATGGGTGGTGGTTCGGGTGAGAAAGTTGAGACGGGCGAAATGAAGACAGAAGAGAATGAAAGATTATCTGTGGAATATTACTGCCCCAGCATTTGCCCAAGTGATCCAAGGAAACCACAGAAAAACTTGGGACTAGGGCAGACGGACCCGGAATCGAACCGGCGTCCTCCTAAATGTTAAGCAATATATATACCCAACTAGAATTTATAAGGGGCATGCCCCATGAAGCCTGCGGGCCTCGTGTGTCTAATAAGGGGCATGCCGATTTACGGGTTTCCCCGTAGATTCCTCATGAAAATCCCACCAAAAAAACTGGTGATACTAAAATGACGATTTCCTTATGGGTTTTTCATATGAATCTTAAGGGACAAACCTAACACATGTAGAAACTTACAAATAAATCAACCTTAGGGGGCTCGATGAAAAAATGAAAAAACTGGTAACAATCGTCTTGTCTCATTATGTCGTCGTTTCAATGAAATCTTTTACATTTGCAACGAACCAACAAGTGTACTCCTGATATTGTTATTATAAGGCAACTGAAACCAGACGCATTAGGTCGAACAACAGTAAAACAATTGTAATTTAAAGTATTATTGACTACAAAAGAGCCCAATAACACAATCTTACTTAAGAGCAAGCAAATTTCACAAATAAGTGATATAAGTATATATTCCTTAAATTGGAGATGTAAATTGCATTGAAATTTCTGGAAAACTACTTCAAAAAAGAAAATCTCATTATATGTACCTATCCATGCAATGCACTTCATTTGTGTTGCCTTTACCGATCGTAACTTTATGATCCTAACCTAACCGCAGTTAAATTTGATTAGTTAACATACTGAAAGATTATGGTATAAATTAAGACCTCCCGCTCTAATCTCAAACAAAATAACACAAACTCGCGGTATTTTAAGCCAATTCCCGCTTCCAGGATTCGATCCGCAACCTTACCAAAATCATCTCAGTATTTGGACTGGATTTATTAGTCGATTCCTGCTTGAAATCGTATATCTAACTACTACTTGGCCTAGTTCAAGTACGAGAGATCCGACGAAAGTCTCATTTTGACCAATTTGCATCAACTCAATTAAGTATCTGCCAATGCGACTGGTGCAATGTAAGAGCAAAACAAATATTATGCAGAACATTCCACTCTAATTTGTCCTACTTTTCCGAATCTATTTAGTGTTGGGACCAAGTATACGAAATGTTATGCCGTCAAGGGAGTTCGCGGAAACTCGACTTTGACATCATCAAGAAACAGACAAACAAACAATTTGCTTTGGTTAAAGAAATAACAAGTTTCTGAACTGGAAACTCACAACATCTATAATAATATTATGCGGATAAAAACGAGATGTTCTGACCGCAATTACATACAATGATGCCCATTTCGGCTTTGTTGGCCATTCGTAATTCCTTTTTATGAACTCAAAAGCAAATAATGATCCATAGCTTCTCAAAATTATCCAATATTGCAAAAGTGTGTCACAGTACCTACTTCCACAAATGACTCAATACGTTATGGTAATAAGAAGATGTCATACAGTCCGATGATGCAATATAATAAAAAAGGTTTTGATAATACGAGATCATATTCTGCCCAACTGACAATTGATCAATGTAGGATAGGTATAATAAGCAAAAGATGTTGACATTTCTTTGGCTTTGTTTGCCAACCTCTTCGTACAAATATCGATCAAGGAAACACCCGTCAACACTGTTTACCTGTTCTCCACTGATCAGGTGGAATTTTCTCTCGCATTTGCACAGATTTGAGAACATGGGCAATTCATGGGCAAAACATAGGAATTCATCCAACACAACTTTATAAAATAAAATATATCAGCGCAAGTCAAGTGGGTATTAATTCACAGGTCTGCGAAATTCTTTTTTTTTTAAGTTTTTTTCTTAAATTGTTCATATTTGTCGTAATTGTCTTAAAAGTAATAGAAGACGATATTCATATGGTGTATACTACGTCACATTAACCCATAAATGCTCAGAGAACACATTTCCATTTGAACTCTTGCCACGTAATGAGTGCGACGAAAAAATATTCGATAACCAGTGTTTCTATGTTTTAAACGATGCTCTTTTCGATGGTGTTGGTTAATAATACCTCCGACAATATTAAAGCATTGAAAAATCGAAAATAAACAAAAAAACGTGATTTTTTGATTGACTTTTTTCTTAAAAAGTAATTTTTTGTGTCCTTACGATTTTTTTTATATGGTTAAAACCTATATAAATCATGACGTCGATATCTAAACATGAAATAATCACCGTTGGTCAAGTCGAAAAGCCTTTACAAACTGTTTGATCAAACCAATGTAAAGTGGTGGAAGCAATACTTTCTTCTTTCAAACTCGTATTGATGACATTTTTCACTCCGAGTTCCAATTGCATTCTAATTTGGACATAAAAATACCGAATAACAATGATTTTGATTTACCATAAGTCCACTGTCTTAACACTTCAACACATAATCGGCATATTTTATCGTAACAGAGTGTTTATTTTGGTAACACAACTTCATTGTGAAGTAAGTTTAATAAGAATTTTTTTCAGTCTGTTATATTCAATCTTTGCTTGACTATTGTATATTGTCCGCAAAAGTAAAAAAATAGATTTGAATTGTTTTTACAGAAGCCATAGTTAAAGATAAATGAAACACAATTTTTTATTACAGGTTAATATTTTATCTCTCTCAATAATGGCGCGCTACAAACTATTTTTTTTTTTTCAGGCGGTGTAAACGACTGTAATTACTTTCAGACTATCTAAAATAAAGTAAAAGACAATATAATGCTCAGTCAGAGAGTACCAACATTTGTATGCTTAAGATAAATTTATACAAAAAACTTTTTTATCGCAGACCTGTGTTATGTGTAAAACGATTGTGGATTTCTATCTTGGGTTACAATACGGTAGGTAATAATTATTTAAAATACAATGGTACTCGTTATGTTCCCGAAAATATTCGCGAATGAAATATGGAAAAAGTAAAATATTCAAGTTCGGAGATCCGCGTTTGCAATTCATCATCACCCTCTCGACCGTCCTCTGTTTAGTTGCAGGAGGTCACGCCAGAATATGAAAGCAAGGCAAATACTTCTCTACTACTCGAAAGACTCACTTCTTTTCAAACTGCAAAACCAACGAGGCAGAAGGGCAAAACTCCCATGAATTTGTTTTTGGACGGAGGTTTAATTAGTAATGCGTCGTTCAAAGGCTTCGTCTGAAAGGCGAGATGACGAAACTGCATCCGAAGCGACGAAAGCGACGACGCAGAGCGAAAAATCTTCAACTTATTACGCAACGGGTTACATTCCCCTTGAGGGTGTCGTTCTACCGTTGCATCCTTGCATTGCTTTTTGTAAAAAATAAAATCCCAGTGCACCTTCCAGGTGAATTAAAAATTCCAAAGCTAATAATCCTACCTTTAGGCGACAGCTGTTTCACAACGAAAGCGCGTTGTGACGTACCTAACTAATTAGGGGATGGAACTGTATGTTCGCTACTTTCTTTAAATATTACTGTAAACATCCCGACTCAAGCTATTTTAATAATCACAATAAATGTAATTTTGCTAATTTATTCAATTTGCATTTTCATGAATATTTAGCGAATATTTTCAAACATTTTTCCCCGTATTAGCAAAGATAAACGAGCTTACGTAATATTTGAGTGATCCATATTCTTAGCCAGGTAAATAATTTCCTTTCTAAATACAATCAATTAAAAAAAAAGGAATACAGTGGTTAAGACTTACAAGATTTACTGCAGGTTATATTTCCTGTCCTTTGCCGGTATCAGCTAAAAAAAAAAGTTGTTTGTTAATTACCTACTATTGATTGAATTATTTAAAATACATAAAAAACATTTTAATTGCGTATTTTCTGTCCATTACGCAAACACGTCCCAATTATTTCGTAATATCGAATACAGACAAGAAAAACAAAAAAAAATGAGCCAAACTTCATTAAGAATGCTTATAAATAGACATATATGGTACGGAACTGAAACTTGGCAAGAATTTCCGCAGTATCGATTTTCAATGTTTTTCCTTGCTGAATAAAACGGTTCTTTTCTATCAGACCGAAGTTGATGGCAGCCACATTTTTCGCTTCCCCAAAATGATTTATACAAGCAGTTTAGAAACGGATGTCCGGTTGGTTAAAATGCTGCAATAAATTCGTTGGAAAATTCAGTACACCTCAGGAAGATGAATACAACACATCAGTACGTAGTTTGAACTTTGCTGTCACTTTAACGAAAAAGATCCCAGTTGAAACAGATGTGGTCAAATTATAGCCAGTGGTTAGCTAAACAATTCTACGATTGAAATTAAACTGCGTCAAGTAATTCGTTTATTTAGTTGTAAGAAAAAAATGTCAGCAAGTTGTTTCGATACACTGATTTATTGAATCAGTAGCCACTCTACATAAATTTTTACCGCAAGTAATCGATTCTACTACCATAAATTAAATATAAATAAAGATAAATTTGCAAAACCATTTCATCACAAGACTTGATAATAACATTCTCAATAGACAGGAATGAAGATAAATAAAATCGTTTCAAAATACGATTGACATTTCCAAATAGAGTAATAAATCATGATGTCTAAACATTTTGCTAGATCATTGTGTGATTCTATTCAATTTTAATAATTGGTGAACTCTGTCAAACTAGCACACAAATATCACAAAATCGCAATACGATTCACACGACAACTTGGTGCTCTTATTATTTTAGTGCTTCATTTTGTGTTTAAAAATTAGTGTAAAAATTAGCACGTCATCATCATAAGGGTCGTCAGTCCTAAGACTGGTTGGACACACACCTTCACTCTTTCCTGTCCTGAGCTAATCTTCGCATTTCCCTAAAACTATAACTTACATGCTTTTTACTATTTAATTATCATTAAAGTCGTTAATCGTTTTCCGATTTTTTGTAATGTAAACGTGCTAACTAGGCAAACATGAATAGAACAAGCAGGAAGAAGTTTCTGGATAGTGTTGCTATGTTCTTGATAATACCGACCATGACAAGGAACATATTGAAGATGCCATCTGGTACGCAGTACAAAACGCTTGCAATGCAGGAGACTACGGCAACACTACCCCAAATTATAGACTTAAATTTAATTACACACTTTGTTATTTGTATGACAAAATGATTGAAGGTATTTGCACGAATCTTCTTGTACGAAGTCGTATTTTGCATCTAACAGAATACCATAATGTTCGGTTCACAATTCGCCCTTCGTGTATAGTTAAACTACACCTTACACGAGCTGCTTTATCCGCTTATTCCGGTTTTAGAAAAATATTAATACATGCTCATAATATATAAGTGTGCTTTATTATTTAAATAGAAACTACGTCCTTTGTATATTAAAAACCCTTGCGAACATGTGAGTGCAAATATACACCATTACACGCGTATGAAGGAATGTCAGATCTTTAAAATGTATTCCAGACAGTACATAACAAAGGATCACGAAGAGAGGCAGTCAAATTTAATGAAGCATATTCCGCATATTTCCTTTTTCCTTATGACTAACAATAAGCATTGGAAAATCTACTTATGTATTGACATAACTTTTATTTTCAGATCTTGATCTTGTTGCCCGTTATTTATTCCACAATGAATATTTAGTACTATCACAATAACTTTTAATTTATGAATAAATTTAACCAGAGTCTCCCTTCTGATAGGGAGATGAAATTTACCAGGAACGAAACTGAATTAAACATTAGATGAATGTGTTAAATACGTACGTATGGTATTCTCGTTGTCCTTATGAATTATTTCATTTAAACCAGAATACGCGGAACTTTAATAAACGATATACAAAGAATGTGATTTATTAGAACCATTACATTGCCATGACGAAGTAAATTTCAACTGTAAGCTCGTTTCTTAATGGAAAATATGATTTGTGTCGCGATGAATTATACCGACGGCGCATTCGACCCCGTGTATTAATCAAGAAAATAGTTCTAAGGAGTTTAAGTCGTTGCGGCTATTTAGAAATGTCATAGTGTAAACGAAGATACAAGTGCGCTGCTTAGCACGGACTTAAATAATAAGGTGTCGTTTGTGTTTTTTACCGTTTCTTTTTTCTTCTAACAGTTTCCCGAAAGGGCGTGCCACAACTGCAGCATTAAAAACAACGCTTCTGGTGGTTTCCAAAGATTATTTTGAAGATATGAGTCTGATTCTTTTTATGAGAAGTTTTATGTTACCACATGATTTTTAATCATTACGTAATGTATATATATATACATNGGTGTCGTACATATATTATATATATATAATCAATTTTTCTGAGACACCCCTCTTCAAATATATTCGGAAGAACGTACTCTAAGAATCATTGGTTTACATCACCATGAGGGAACAAAGAATCAGTAACTTTAGCAATTTGCCTTGAAAAAATCTTTATCAAAAGGCAAAACATCGATGTTGGTTGCTATATGTTTTTTCTCATTTTAACTTCGATTTTTGCACATTTTTGCATAGGGGAAGAAATGAAAATTAAGTAATATTTGATCTATTTTAAAGCTTTTGTGGCCACCTCTTAGAGGAGCTAGCACTTCTTAGGGTTTTCACCTTGTCGCGGTAGGGGTACTCCGGAACTCAATATCCATACTGCGTTATGGCGAGGACTTTGTGAAACCCCTAGGCAAAGAGAAGCGAACGTGCCATAAGTCCAGTACAGACGTAGAAGATTGACGCGGAAGAAAAACCCGCTCCGCCGACACAACTAACTCGTTGAAAAGTTCTAGTGCGGTCAGCGAAACCTTTAATAAATAAGTCAAGAATCCTTTAGGTGTGCTGGGTTCCATCCATCAAAAACGAAGTAAGTATCCTGACGCAGTAGTGTGCATCAGGTAGACCTAGCTTAACCCCATTGGTGAGTTGTTGTCCGGACTGATGGGCCGTGGTCCGTTGGGTTGTTTCCCCGACGTTTCATCCCATTGGAGAAGTTACATAGATTGAGTGTGTAGTCCGACCCATAAGCAGGACTACACATTTTTAGGCGAAGGCATAGCAGATGTGAAAAACATAGTGGCTTGGATTAGCCAAAAGGCTCAACGATGTTCGATTATAGTGACACAAATTGTATGTTGCACAACGAGGGGTACCTAACGGCCCGGAAATCTAGCTTTGGCTCTCCCCAATCCAACTGCTGTAGGGCTTGGGGGGAGGCAGACCGAATAGCGGAACAAATAAGTTGGCCTGTTGGGCCGTTGCTGATCTTGAGCGTACCCTTTAAGATGTTAGATAGGCCAAAACCTGAGGGCCACTTGCATCGACAGCTTCAGTGGCTTCCTGAGACTAATAGGGTCAACGGAGGGTCGACTCCATGAAATCGTTTTTCAATTCTGGTACACTTATGTCTGTTTAGCATGTGGATAAGTTTTAGCAAAGCGCATTAAATCTCCATTAGTTGTCTCATCAGAGGCAAAATTATATTACTTTCGAAACGTGATTAATCAATTATCAAAACTATGGGAAATGCGTCGTGTTGAGAACCTTTGTCTTCAACACCTATGTTTAATATCTTAGTATTTCTTTAAAGTAACCTATTTCTTAATGGCTGCAGTAGATCTTTGCCGCAGTATAAACGTCTCAAACTGTATTTGCGAGCTTTACGGAATATAGATGTCGGCAGCCTGGGGCTATTTATCATAATTGCCTCAGACCCGCGCTCCTAAACAAAGACGCACACATAATCCGGATTAAATAGCACAGAAAAGGAACAGTTTAATAATGCCAACAGTTTATTATCGTCAATCATTGTGCCTCTTCTGTCGCAGCGTTTTTTTTTTTTCATTCGGTAACGCGAAAGGCGTACTAAATTATTCGTGAATTACGCGTTTGCCTAAAAAGATTCAGAGATGTATAAGCGGGGAGAATCTTTGTTAAGGAATATGGCAGCAATAATTAATGTTTGTAAGTAGTGATGTAACGGAAGTGTCACAACAAATGCAGATGTGGAAACAGATGAAAGCGGTTATATATTTGCGGAAGCAGCGGAAGTATCAATTTTATTAAAAAAGTAGTAATTTATTCAAATTGGCCGCGACATGTACAAGTGCTCGTTATAGTCGTATGTACAAAATATTCATAGTACAGTCAAAACCGTTTACTACGACATCGTTTAGAACAACATACCGGTTATATTGACCAAAATCATAGGTCCCGACTTAATTCTGTTAGACCGCCTTATAAAAAACACTGGTTTTTACGACATATCTCTTTAAGCGACTACATTTAACTGATATTTTCGGAGAATTATATCTGTTAGAACGACCAGCTTTATTGTGAACATTTGAATAGGTAACAGTATCCACATTTGGCATGGTAAATGACCATTAAGTTCGCAAAAGTAAACAAAAACGTGTCGAGTTTAGGGTCTATCTTAATTCTCAGAATATCTACTACAGAAGCTAAGGAGTTTATTGATGCAGATAACTCCAGATAACTATTGCAATTTGTGCACGAGCTACGGAAGATGATATTGTATAAGAAGTTCAAGAGGAAAATGACGAACAGGAAGAACAATTTAGAGTTCCAACTTTGAATGATGGTCTCAATACTGTCTTATGTACTGTATTACGAAAAATTGTTTTTTATTCTAATGAACAGTTTAATATGCAGGGAAATTATGATGATACATTAATTAAAATTAAACGTGAACTACAAAGTCTGTACCCACGACAGAAGTGTTCCAAACAGACAAAAATTCCAGATTTTATTAATATAGATAAATAATAATTATATGTACGTAATGACTTTTT